AAGATTACCCAGTTCTCTGGTGATCTGTCTGACCAAATGGAGCAACAGTTGGTTTCTCTTGAACTCCTCCACCTTGATTTCAAACAGCTGGGCATTATTAATTCCGATTCCGCAAAATGCCAGATAATCCCGGAAAATCTTCTCATCATCTCCAGTGAAAAATTCTCCGTCTGTCTTGTTAATCACACACGCAACACCGACTACTTCTTCTTCAAGTCCAAATATCGGTAAAGACATTATGCAACGTGTATGGTAGCCAGTACGCATGTCGATTTCTTTATTGAAGCGAGGGTCGTTGTAGGCATCCTTAATGTTTATCGATTTTCGAGTTTCCGCCACAGTGCCAACAATCCCCTCACCGAACGGGATATGGATGGCTTCCCGCGAACTATGTAAGCTCTCATCGAGAAGTGATGTGGTTGTCACATCGAAAAGTTTCGAGACGAGATACTGTTCAGTGGGAGAACGTCTCACCAAGAAGAGACTTCCTCGGTCACTGCGAGTCAAGATACACACATTTTGTAAGATTTTATGGCACAAAACATTGACGTCAAGTTCATCAGCTATGTCCTTGACAAGCTCCTTGAAAAGATCATTTTTGTTCACTTCATTGTAGATTACTTTGGTTTGTGGAACACGCTTTCTCTGGACAATGTCTTGAACGTAGCTAACAAAAGCGTTTCCAATACTAGCAGGTGTGGGCCGGCGTTTTAGTTCTTTCGGAATCTCTGAAAGTCCGTGACTAGAGAGCCAGTTGTTTAAAAATTCTGGGTTATCTTTTAAGAAATTTGTAACGGCTTCTACTGATAACTCTTTCGCCATTCTTGTCTCCCCCTCAACCCCCCGATTTAGCAGAAAATATTAATCTTTGATTTAAAAGAGATTTCCAAACGACCGTTCCGAACTTGGCGCGTCATTGTTCTCCAGAATCATTGATTAAGTCATTCTTTTCTGACGTTGTTAGATTGGTGACGTCGCCTCTTTGGAAAACTTCGAATTCAACGGAAAACATTCAGAAAACGTTCTGCCTGGTAGTTAAGAGTTAACAAAAGATATGATAGTGTTTCGTATCGACAGATTTTAACGAAAGGTGGGTGACTGCGGCAAGCCTGGTTCGCATGAATGGGGCGAGCCTTGATTTTTTTTTTACGTCTCCTTAAGACACATCGGGGCGGTTCCATGTGGAGCTCTCTCTCTCTCTCTCTCTCTCTCTCTCTCTCTGGTTAGGATAGACCCCCTCTTGTGTACCTAGTGTGTAAGGGTTTTTTTACTGGCATGTACCCGGCTTCTTTTTTTATGATGCTAGCAGATATTATCCACTGTTTGTTTTTTGCACCCCACTTTTTCTTTCACTTCGACTTGGCCAGTTTCTTTTTTCTCTCCATGTTCGTATTTATTTGATCTTTCCCTCTCCCTTAACGAGAAAGCCTCTTGATTTTGTCTACAGACAGAATACAGTCTTTCTCATTTCTTTTGAGGGTAGGACGGGTTCTACTAACATCAATATTTTTAGTTCCTGTACTTTGTTATATATAAATTTGATTTCGGTTTCAGGCTCCAACTCATTGCTTATCATCTATGAACTTTTATATATAATTTTTATAATCACGAATTTTATATTATGGTATGTTTGATGGTTACTATCCCCGACCCGCGTGTATGCGGTATTGTGTGGAGGATTGACAGACGAGTTTGTTTTTTTTTATGGTGGATGTGTAAATTGTAACGAATGAATAGGTCGTGAATCGGATTAGCTAGGTATAAGATAATGAGTGACGACCAGCCTCAACCTCCGCCTTTTTTTGGCCTTGTGCCACAGTTGGTGTATTTTCGATCACTAAATCGAGAGTTAACAAAAGAAATAACCGGGAAGAAATTACGTAATTTCTTCAATGTAGTAGTTTCATATACATTTTGTACAATCACCACAGTTAAGCAACGTCGTGCCTGGTCAGTACTTAGATAGGTGTTATAGTGGAACACACCTATTCTATAGTTAATAGACTCTCCCACCTATAATAATTAGGAGTAGTAGGAGTCGCTCAGTCAGTCGATGCCGGACGACCGTTAGTCGAATACTAAAATATCAGCGACCACAACTAGATTTCTCTGCGTCATTACCTATTATATCAAGTCCCTAACATTTTGTATGTCGAACCTATTTTAGGACCGACTTAGTGAAATACAAGCCTCCACTGTGAAACCACTCCATAACAATGGGTGACTGCTTGGGAATACCAGCTGCTGGGTGGTGTATTTAATTATTGGCTCGGAAATGTTAATTGGAGAGACGAGTTTCAATTCCCGTTGGGTTTGTTATATTCACTTATGCGCGTATACCCTTGGAAAAGGTATGAATCCACCTCTTTCCCTTCAGCTATGGATTAATTAGTAAAACTTGTATCACTAAACCATTATTATCTCCCCCCCACTCCAAGAAAAATTCTTACGATCTAAAAATATTTTCTGGCTTTAAATAACTTGTAAATGGTAAAAACAAATCAGTCGATCAATATATCTTTTTGGAGCACAGTCTTCCATGTTAAAAAAAAGAATTCATTTTAACTTGAGACTGGAAGCTAACAAACTAACACTATATAAATTTAAATTTTATTACTCAATTTATTGTCATATCACGTTAAAAACATTCATATCAAAAGATTTTTTAATCCTCTTACCGCAAAGGAAGGTGATAATGCTACTAAGACGCAAAGGCCACTGGGAATTAAAGACCGGGAACTAGTATAATATACAATATCTTGCACCGTTCCCCCACTAGAAATGATTGAGGGGAGTTTAAAAGATTTTTAAAAGGCCATTGGATATCAATGTTTCAGAGGATTAATAATTTATACACAGTTAACGTGCTTCACGAATTCATAGCTACCAGAGATCTTGTTTCCGACGAATTATTACGTGAGTGTAGGTGTCACTGTTTTTCCTTGTAAATCTAGGGTCGGTGACAAAACTAACCTGGCCTTGCGTTTTGAAATGGACCTCCAATCGGTTGTTAATTGGGGCAAGAATTGGCTGGTCAACTTTAACGCCTCAAAAACTAAACTACTCTCTATTAATCACCATAGAGATCCTTCCCTGCCCCCATTAGAATGTCTGATAGTCAACTTCTTGAGAGCAACTCCATGCGTCGGCTCGGTCTCACGCTGACTGCTGACCTGAGATGGAACAAATACATTGAGTCAATTGCTTCTTCCACAGCGAGGAAAGTTGGCTCTCTGTGCCGCGCCAGGAAATTTTTCTCCCCGGAATCGATACTTCAAATATACAAATCAACCATTCGCCCTTGCATGGAGTATTGCTGCCATATATGGTCTAGGGCACCTTCTGTTTACCTCGGAGTTCTTGACAAGATCCAGAGACGGATATGTAATATAATTGGCCCTGATCTGGTGTCTCGTCTACAGTTGCTCTCTCACAGACGCGCCGTCACCTCTCTTTGTCTTTTCTACAAATACTTTCATGGTAATTGCTCCGATGAGCTGCTTTCACTGGTTCCCAGACTCCATGAATTCAAGCGCCCCACGAGACTGGCATCCCGCTCCCACCCTTACACTGTAGAAACTTTTAAATGTAGCCGTCTCTTCTACTCCAATAGCTTCATACCTCGCACCTCCCGCCTATATAACACCCTACCCAATTATTGTTTCCCTGAGAGCTATAATCTCCAACTATTCAAATGTAATGTCAATCGACACCTCCAGTTACCTTGATCTACCCACTATCCCTCTCCTCATCCTTTCTTCTATCACTCCTATCTGCTCTTGCTTCAAATCTTCTGCAAACCCCTGCATCCTAGTGGCTTCACGCCTTGCTCGGGGCGTAATGCTTAAAAAAAAAAACATAGATGGATGTTGGAAATAAGAGAAAAATGTACATTTACCAACATTGCTGCAGTCTTCTTTTTACAATTTAATTATTCATTTAATAACCTCTTGTTTTGATTCTTTTGCCGGTATAGTTTTTATTTCTCAGTATCTAGCATAACGAAATGTGCATTTCGAATATAACGGCGTCCTGGGTAAGACGATAAACTACATGTTATATAATTATTATTATAACTTTATCAAAATATGTTTATTGATCTTTATATTTTGGAGTTATATAATTTACATTTATATCCTTATTTTTCCTTGATAAAATGCTATTTCCCATTTAGACCTTTTCTTAACATCGTTCTGATCAGCGAGGCCTTTGATCAGGAGGTTTTGAGGAGCCTCTTGCTTGCTGGTGTTCCTGAGTCCTCCCTGACCCAGGGTGATGGCGCCTGTTGGGGCTCCAGCTGGGGGCTAATGGTTAGCCCTAAACTGGGGTCGGGGCGCCGTGAAAGTGTAAAAATAGGTTATAATACCAACAATACATTTTTGTAAAAAATTATTACCAGCAATGAATTTTTGAAGAAAATATTATTACCAGTAATACAGTTTTGAAAAAAAAAAAAAAATTACCATCAATATATTTTTGAAAAAAAAAAAAAAATATTACCAGCAATACATTTAAAAAAAAGAATATTACCAGCAATATATTTTTGAAAAAAAAAAAAAATATAACCAGCAATACATTTAAAAAAAAAAATATTACCAGCAATATATTTTTGAAAAAAAAAATCCTGTCGGCATTAAATAACCCATTGAGGTGTTGATATACTGCAAAACAAACAAACAAAACGAATATAACAGACGAAACTCGTGAGATTTTAAAATTCTCGTACAAGTGAAATGCAACCATGGATACTGCGGTTGCAGTTGCTTTTGCTCTTGGAGAGACTTAAAAAAAAAGATTTAACTATATCTGATTCTCAAACGTTTTTATCATCCATTTCTCTAATCTGATCTTTCTTTTTGATTCCGGGTTTGTCTATGAGTTGATCGATGAAGGTTTTTGTTAGTTCACCTCTTGACATTTTCTTGTAATTTGAATCTCAGAGTATATGCTGTGAAGAACTTGTGTATTTCATCAGCAATGGTCACTAAAATGCGCTCGCTTTAACAGATCGTGTCCGAGAGAGAGAGAGAGATGAAAGCGAGGAACAGGGAGAGAGAGAGAGCCAAGAAAGTGAGAGACAAAGAGAGAGTGAACGAGGAAAACGAGGGTGAAAGATTGTGAACGCGAGGAAAGAATGACAATGAGAATAAGATCGAGAGAAGTGGGAGAGGTAGAGCGAGGAAAGTAACCGATAGAGAGAGAGGGAGAGAGGTAACTAAGAAAAGTAGGGAGTGAAAAGGAAGAGAAAGTGGGAAACGTATAAAAAGAGAGACATTAAACGAAAAGCATTCAGTGGTGAGAGAAAGAGGGGTGGGGAGATTTAAATAGAGAAAACAAAGAAGAAAGAAAAGCATTGGATGAGGAGAGATAGAAAGAAAAGGAAAAATGTGACGGGGAGATAGATATATGGACAGATAAATATGTATAGATGAGGAAATGTAAGAATGAAAAAGAGAGAGGATGAACTCCAGAAAAGAGAGAGAGAGAGAGCTTATGACAGAGTAAGTAAAGCTTTATAAATATCAGGTCAGCTCCGTTTTGACATCAGATGGTATTAGTAATGTTTAGTTTGAAATACAACGAGAAAGATTGTTTTTGATTGCATTGAGATAGCTGTGTTGCATTTCTAAAATTGATGAATTTAGCTTAGGCACTTCCATTTTTTCGGCATAAATTTTCAATACTAAGGTTTAAAATGAATTTTTAAAAATGTAAAAGCATTCTTGATTTTGTTTTAGCTTTCATTGAAAGCCAAAGGATTAAATTTACTATTTCCAGTAAATAAAATATTCTGGTGTATTTTAGATAGATATTATATAGATTGGAATGTCAAATTTAATTTCGATTTCTTAAAATTTTCTTAAAAGTGGCCATTTTCTTAATTTTAAGAAACTTATAAACGAAACAAATTTATCGATTTTAAAACTTTTCCTATATATATATATATTTCTGACACGTTATTTGAGTAAAATTAGAAACGTTAAAGTTAAATTAATCTGATTTGTTTAATGGATCATTGAGTGATGAAGCGATGACAGTATGGATAGCTAGAACTGACATAAAATTTACGAAATCTAAGTGAACGTATTTTTTTTTTAACTACGTAGTAATTTTTACATTTGAACATATTTTCCGCAATAATCTAATAACCTACTGTCTTTTATTTATTGTTCGAAGATGCTTTATGCAAAAATAAAAAAAAAATTAAAATACTATAAAATTTTCTTAAATTAATTTCTCTGTAAAGAGACAAAACTCTTAGATCACGTGACTTTTTCAAAATTGTGTTATGTTTAGCCTTTCATAGATAGAAAAAAGGAACAAATTAAGAAAATAAAATAATAATATAATGAAAAATAATTTTAAAAAGAGTAAAATTAAATGAAACTACGTTTATTAATTTTTCAATTTTGGATTCGTAAATTTCGTTTCCACTTAATTACTATACCACGATTTTAAATTATTATAATTAGAATTAAAAAAAAAATAAAAAACGAATGAAAAAAAAATCTTGTAAAAATTCATTATTCATCGGAAAATTTTTATTTCTTTAGTCAATAATGTCCTTAATATAACATTTTTTTTGCAAAAGCAATTAAAAGCTTTTCTAATTAAATAATGTCATAGTTTTATTGCATTCATTATTTTTCAATTCAGAGCAGATTTTCAGTTAGAATAGTGCAAGTTTTAAAAAAAAAGTCGATTTACATTTTCCAAGGAGACCTACTTTTAACAAGTAAATAGTAAGGTTTTTTTTTTGCGAAATTTCATGAAATTAAATAAGTGGGGGTAACATATGTAAAAAAGCATTTGTTTGCCAAAATTATCTAAAAAAAAAAAAATCAAAAACAATTTCATTCAATTGGGAATAAGTCCTAAAAATCTAAGTAAAACGGGACAATTATTTGATTTTTATAAGAATTTCCAAATCAACGGAAAAAAAGCGCAAAGAAAATCAATGTAATTATTATGTCACCCCGGTGACGTAAACAAAACAAGTTTTTAACCAAAATTTCGAACCTGTTAGAAAGAATTAAAAAATTTCAAAAAATAAACAAAACAGACTTTCGTCTTTCATCTTAATAATAAACATTTTCACGATAAACCCTTTTTTTTTTTTTTTAAGTCTGTGACCTTTTTCATTACGATATGCAGTTTTCCGCGAAAAAGTAGAGGTACCTAAATTAGCGTAATGTAAAGAAATGAAAAGTGGATACTCTATAAGAGCGTGAATCGTATGAGATTGATCGAAATGAACTACCGCTAACCATCTCATATGGCAGTCTTCGCCACATGATGAAGCTCTGTATATGGTGGGATTGGAAAAGACTCTTCAATTACGAGATGATGTTGGAAGGTTCACAGCTCAAATGCACTCTACCTAGAAAAAAGTTTAAAAAAAAGTGAAAGGAATTCCTTTTAATGTTTTATTTTTTACTTTGTTAGAGTTTGGGAAATGGACAGTGACAAAACTTTTCAGGTCTCCTTCAGATAAACTCCTTCCAAAGAAGTATGTTTTTCGAAGTAGTACTTCTCCGAAAATAATAATAAAAAAAAATAATTAAATTAAAATGATTATAAAACAATTACCGATTAAATTAAGTATTAATTAAGAAATGTCTGCCCAAAGTGATAACTCTAGGATTATTAATTGCTAAATACGGAGTCGTTTCATTGAATTAATAAAAACATCGGAATCATCAGTTAAGCATCCTTGATATGTCTACATTCTATTCTATCGCCTATAGTGATACACTTATTATTATTATTATTAAAGTTTCATTACTGGTGTATCTATACGATGAAGAAATGGATAGCGGCTCGGATTAAAGAATCGGAGATCCGAGTTCGAATTCATTCACTTACGTGCTAATACCGCTTGGGAAAGGTATGAATCCTCTTCTCCTCCCAGCAGGACAGATCGGGTTCTATGGCAACTGGTCTACCGCATAAAGAAATGGCAACCTACTGCGGGAAAAAATCTGCCTCGTCAGTCATGACGAAAGAGAGATGATCGCCTAAGCGTGTATCACGCATGTTATATAACTGACGGGAGTAGTGGGTTGGGGCGGTATCACGACGGTGTGTCGAGAGGGTTAATGTTTTGCCACACCTGCAAGGTGGTGTGATATCTTTATCAAAACCTCTTATAATATTGCGCATATTATGCTGACATATCATATATGTAAAATGAAGAAAGAAGAAAGCTGACCCAGTCGAGATGAAAAAAAGAAAAGAAAAAAAGGTGGGGGTCATCGGCATTTTTTTCCTGTGGAGCCCTTCCCTGGTTAGGATATACCCAGGTTGTGTACCTAGTTAATGTCAGTAAGTGTTGTTCCCGGCCTGTTCTCTGGCTTCCTCTTTGGTTATGAACAAGTATGTTGTCCCTGAGAACACGTTACCAGGTTTAACACATGCATGAACATCACCGTTAAAGAGATGAAATGTTAATTATAAGATAACTTTAGAAAACTACCCAGTAAACACAAAAAGATCGGATTCTTATATGCCGCAATTTTTTTTCTTTTTTCCCTAAATGGAAAATTCGCTTAAAAATGATGAACATGATTCTTACAAGTAGACATGTTCTCGTAAGTGTTGCCATATCACACAAGTAGCATTTTAGGCATCACCAGTGACGTAGGCGAGCGACAGCAGTGACTAACTCAATAAAATAATATCAAAACAAAAGTAGAGATACACTATTTACATTATTCGCACTATTGTCCTCATCTTTGTTGCCATATTTATCACAAAGTTTCGGCCGTTGTACGCTCCGGCGTTCTTCAGACACACGACACAGTGGATAAAGGCGTTGGTTAGATCCAGTGACAGGACCCAAAAGTTGTGAGTTCAATACCTGGTTAAGGCTGTGTAGAACTTGGAGAGGTGAATTAACAGGAGACAACTGATCACTGACATCCATTAAACATGGCACGTAGAACTAGAACAGTCTACCCCAGCGAGTGAAATAAAGGGTTCAGTTCAACATTCCAACCATGTGAAGAAGGCCGGAGCGTACAACGGCCGAAACGTTATGATACATATGACAATAAAGATGAGGACAATAGTCCGAATAATGTAAATAGTGTTCATAATACTTCATCTCAGAAATATAAACAGATGCAAAAATAGAGATAATGAGACAAAGTAAAAAACTTGTTCAAACAACACATTTCGCCTCTAAATAATGAGAGACTAACACTGTGAGTAAGGAAAGTGCATTGAAGTTTTTGAGGAAGGGGTCGGAGTATAACGTTATTAGATTCTACACCCAGAATTTTGCTTTGTCTTGAAACTGCTAACGTTTGCTGCATTTCAAATTCGTCTACTTCGTGTAAACCTGCAGTCTTCGTCAGGGTTTTATACTGAATAGTGTTTTTTTTTGTTTTTTTTAATTTAAAACAGGTTTTAATTTCAAATCCTGGCGGATTATGTACAAGAACCATCAATCCTTTGGCCATGGCACCAGATAAAGATATTTATTGCCTCTCCCCCAGAGGACGCCTATCGTAAGTGAGGGGGCGGATAGCAGTAAAAGCTTTTCCAATTGTGCTACGATGCAATGATCGGTTATATTGTATATGAGCCTGAACTGACTTTGACGGTAAAGAAATCTTATTTAAGAAAAATATTCGCATTCCGCCGGTGAGTGCATATTTCTCTTTAATAAAATTCCTCGAATATTAAGGCAGGTAGACTAAAATAAAGAAACATACTGTTTAATAAATAAACGGTACGTCTACTCAAATACGTTTCAGGAGATAACATATCAGCTACGCGCCGTTTAGGTAGGCACTGCGTTCCCTGGATAAAATGAATCAACAGCTAATCTTTCTGTTGCACAATATGCCCCTAATCCAACAAAATTATGTTCAGATCTGTTCTTCAGTCATGTTTACGGATGCGGCAAAACTTGGAAGAGGTGGATTAACAAATTTACAAAACCAACATTTGTAGGCGGATCGGAATACCCATGGTATATTACAGGCTATACACCAGCATCAGTTTACTATTAATGTGTGGGCTGGAATTGTAGGTGACTGTCTGGTTGGTCCATATGTTCTCCCAGCACGTCTTACAATAACTGTCTACAGGGACTTTATTTCGAATATACTTCCAGTCTTGCTAGAGGATGTACACTTGCTAATACGAAGACGCAAGTGGTGCAAGCATAATAGGGCTCCAGAATATTTTAGTCGCATAGTTCGCGATGCAATGGCTGACATTTATCATGAAATATGGATAGGTAGGGGAGGACCAGATCTATAGCCTGCGTGTTTCTCCGACCTCAATCCTTTGGATTTTTATCTGTGGGGCCACTTAAAACAATTGGTTTATGTAGCAGACATTAATAATGCAGAGGCGCTTCATCAATGTGTCATGGGGGCCTGCGAAACAATTCGACATCGTGTGGGGGTACTTGAAAGGGTACGCCTGTCAGTGGTCCGACAGGTGAATCAGCGAAGGACATTTTGAACATTTGTCATGAGTTGCTGTGCTGAGGTACAGCGATGGCCTTTTGGACATATTACCTTGTTTAGGTGTCAGGAATCCGTCGCAAATGACTGTACAAGTATTTTTATACATCCTGTAGATATAAAATAGTAAGAACTAAAGCTTAAAATATAAAATAAACTGAGGAAATTAGTACTAAATTCGACGTAGCCTAAATATAAGATAACAATATTATCAAATTAGTAATATCAAAATCCGCTACTCAGAGATTCATGTAACAACTATGTGATATTACTGAATTTCAAATAGAGGGAGGATATATATATATATATATATATATATATAATACCCGACCCCTTCCTATGGGCATGTGGTTAGAACGTTCGAATTCTGACCAGGAGATCCAGGTTCAAATCTAATCATGGTCGATGTTATCGGGCTGGAGGGGTCGAACCCGGCGGGCGTCACCTTTGGAAAGTGCTTGAAAACCATACCACGGGTTGACCCGAGCATTGTGAATGAAATTGGGTAGACAGAAGTCACAAGTCATCGTGGTCGAGTGCTTGAGCGTGCTGGCCTTGTTCAAATTGTTGATCATGCTAGATAACACGATCTTAGCCAGAAACTGTAACTAAGGACTGCTCAGCATAGTTGCAGTATAAACCACAGGTGGGCTCTGTAGGCGTTGAATAAACACAAATGCATCTGGGCAAGCGTCTGCAACAGGGACTGGCTAGCCACCCTAGTAGACGGGAATCCTCGAATACGAGTGGCAATACTATATACGCACTACATTCCAAAAGTTTGAAGTCACTTCCAGGATTAGAATGGGATGAACTTAACAGAAGATTGAAAAATAAAGTGAAAAAGAGGCTCTCTGAGTTAATGAAAAAAGAATAGAATCAATTATCAAACATATGTTTTGAGAAACTTTTGCAACGAATGCCAAAAATTTGTGCTGCAGTAATCAAGGCTAAAGGAGGATATTTTGCCGAGAGCAAAATTTAATCATAAAATTTCTAATAAAAAAATAATCTTTCACGTTTTTTAACCATTCATAATAATTTTCTCTTAAAGTACAAAACAACTACTTTTTAAGGACAATTTAAGCAATTACCAAGGAGTGGCCTCAAAATTTTGAACTGTAGTATATATATATATATATATATATATATATATATATATATATATATATATATATAGATATATATGACTCATATATGAAAGCCTACTGATAATAAGGACTTCGTATATGAATTTCATGTTTGACGAGATAGATAAACTCGTTTATATTGACGAGAGTTAGACAGGATTGATATAACACTTCTTCAGATTGGCTAAATATTAATATGCTTAGCAATACCTACTTATCTGTGGTGTACCTAACAAGATTAAGATTACTCCCGGGAACTTTTTTTTCTCACAGATAGTATTAAATATACGTTGGTCTCATTGCAATAACTCCAACAAACACTGAATCTACCATCATGGTTGATCTTCTTAGAAACAGATTTAAAAGACAGAAAAATGTAAACAACTCAATGAAAATTAATAAGTCTCTTGAGAAGATTGGTAGATGCTTTTGACAGTCAAGAATTTTCGATGTTGCTTCGTTCACAACTAAGTATAGTGTTAAACTAAAAGATTAAAAAAAAACTTGTTGTGATTGACTAAAGTAAAGATTGTGTTGCGCCAGTTTTCCAAGGGTGGATAACTTAACCAGGAAAACCAGCATCCGAAATTTAGGCTTTTCGCCTGGATTGGAATACTAACCACTCGGGTTAATGGAAAATATGAAAATACATTAGAGGTCAAAAAGTCCCCACACTCCCGGATCTCGAAGGATTGCCTATAAATTGAAGGTTGCGTACTAACTATTTTATTACCTCACTACAGGTCAGAAGGTTCTTTCGATTCCTAAAGGGGCTTAAGTTCAAAACACCGGTTTCCGTATAAATACCGAAGTTAAGCAACGTCGAGCCTTGTCAGTACCTAGATGGGCGACTTGGGAAAAGTATGAATCCACCTCTTCTCTCCCCAGCTATGGGTTAATTAGCATGACTTTTATCACTAAATCATTATTATATCAACACCACAAAAAATTCTTATAATTAAAAAAATATTTTCTGGCTTTAGATAATCTGCAAAACCTTGATAAACCGTAGGAAATTAATTATCCAATCTTCCTGAAGCGTTTTATAATATATTCAGTAATAATAATAATAACGAAATTTACAGCATAAAATTTGATTAACATTTTATCGCTTTTTGCTTAATCTATCTTATTGCGTAATGGTAATTTTAGGATTGGTGGGGATTTTAAATTTTAGATAATCCTTCTCTAAAAGATCGACCCGAGCTTAATTAAACCAAAGATGGCCTAAAACTGACTAATTATTATAAATCCAGAGGGTAAACACCACAAACCTTTAGCCTGTATAGTGGATGTCCATTATTATAAACTTTGTTTTGTACATAAAATGTTTTGACCAATTTATTCTACAACTCTTCCCGGCTATAATTTGTGGGAAAGGAAGGAAGTCATTTTAACCAATTTTTTCCTATACGGATTACAGCTGATGAAGGTAGAAAAATGGATCGGCCGAAATGTGTAAACAAGCACAGCTATAAAAAGAAGAGAAATGAATATTATATATATATATATATATATATATATATATATATATATATATATGTATATAAAACTGCGTCTAGAGATTATATGTAAGTTATGAATTGGTATAAAGAGTTGCGTCTTTAATGTTAAAAGTCCTGTTATGATGTTGTTTAGATTCTAC